TCTGAAGGAGTTCGGGGTTTTTGCAGCTTCTTGTAGACCCCCAGCTTCCTCTTGAGCTGCTTCAGCTCCACCGACATCTCCCCTAGGGAACGGGTAGTCGCTGTGGGCTGGTGTCGGGAGAGGACGTTGACTCCGTGGAAAGGTCGGCTTCTTTCCACACTCCTTAATTTGGTCCCCAAGTTCCCCGGTACCGGTACGATCTCCACAGCTGTCTGCTTCTTTTGGAGTCCCTCCCGAAATTTCTCCAAGGCTCTACCCCCTCGAGAATTACAAGTTTTCATTAAAGCAACTTCATAAGATAACTTTAACGAATCCTTATAATTTCTTGGGTCTTCAAGGAGTTTCCCCGTCTGGGCAGAGTCCTTTTTCGCGGAGTTAGATTTTTCCTTGGCGATTTCCTTTTATGAAGACTGGTCGTGGGGTGGAGATTTTTCCCCATCATTTTCTCCTGTTCGCGTCGAATCAGCTGCGTCAAACTTGATTTTTCCAGAAGTCAGCGACCGCTTTTGGATCTCTACTTTTTCGCCAGCTAGATCCGTAATCACAGGCGAGTCCCGTTTTTTGGCTTCTAATTGGCCGAAGGATTTCCACCACTATTGCGTGCCCGATACTCAGCGCGTGCGGCTTTCATTTTGTTGCAGTCGAAGATTCGATGACCCGGCACCCCGCAAAAATCACACGTGTAGTTGGTGTTTTTCAGACGTGGCCGCCCTTCGAACCTGTCAACTTCCATCGGGTCGGCGAACGTGGGGTGAGCCGAGCGGTCACCCTGTCGCGTACTGTCGACGCGCGTCCGTCGTGTCTCGGCGTTGACCATGTCGAAGCGTTCCGCGGCCAATACGACATCACTGTAGCTCGCGTAGTTTGTCGCTGCCACTTGTCGTTTGACTTCGGTTTTCAGCCCGCCGAGGTATGACTGTACTTTTTCCCCTTCGGTCAGGTCGGGAATGCGGTTATAAAATTCCTCCATCTGCTGCGTGTACTCCGCTATGCTCCCGAACTGTCGATGGCGATGAATTCTTTCTCGGGCAAGGAAACCCGAATTTATCGGCTCGAAACGTTTCAGCAGGTCGGTGCGGAACTGCTGCCACGTGGCTTCGCCGTGGATGAAGGTGTTGTTATCGCCGATCCACTCGAGTACCGGCCCTCGCATCAGTGTCGCTGCGAATCGTACGCGTTGTCCGTCCCAGACTGGCGAGCTCCATCCGACGGCTGCAAAGTAGATCTCCATGCCGGCGATCCATCTGCGGGCATTGGAATTTCGATCGCTCGGATTGAACGGCTCAGGTGGGTGCGGTTTTGGAGCCTCGGGAATTTGCTGCGACTGTTGCGTCGTCGCCGTTGTCGTTTCGTGTTGCGCGCCGGCAAGTCGAGTTACTCGCTTGAACTCTTGTCGCCAAGCTTCGCGGCCGGCTCGCATCTCCTCCTGCAGGGTGGCGATGCTCGCGAAGAGCTGCTGGGTAACTTTGGCGTTGTCGAAGTTCGCCATCCTGTTCAAAACATGCACGGAGGGGGTAATTCGAAATATCGCTGAGCTGGTGCTTACCTGAATCGGCGTCGAATTGTCGCCCCCGGTGGTTTTTCAAGGCAGGACCCCCCGCTGCTATTGCTTAGCTGAGCGCGGTTGAGTGAGGAAAAGCTCTGATTACCAAGTGTCACATGACCGAATGTGTCGAGGAAAGGTTGCACTATCGATTGATACAAGGCACTTTTATACTTCCAAAGTACACCAGGTAACCAGGTTTATCCTATCCCAAGGGAATAGACGCTTCTAGAAAATAGAATCACCCTGCGTATAGCCACGCGAGGCTATTGGCTTACGGCAGGATTATGCTAGATATAGCGTGCCAGTACATCCCGAGCCTGGTCGGTGATATAATGATAATAACAGGACAAACCAAAGGTTTATGGAAAAGGATGAATAGGAATGTAAATGGCATGAGATAAAGACCAAATGAGTCAGGATAAAAAGAGGAATGAAATGGAAAGGGAAGATGGAAAGGAGAAACAAATGGAACGGGGTCGTACTCTCACAACCACCCCCTCTCTTGGGGCCGCAGCAGCCCGGAGGCTGTAGCTGCTGCTGTGGGAAGGCCGCCGCTGTGGTCTCAATGGCAGGAGGAACTGTAGCGACGGAGGGGGAAACGTCAGCGTACGTGCACTAGGAGGGAGCACAGCCCTGAAAGATAGGGACCGCCACATCACCGCTCGAGTGAGCGATAGTGCGCTGGTGAGTCTATCTCAGAAAGGGCAGTGACGAAGGCGGTCAGGGTGAGGTCACCAGGGTGCTGGCTAAGGAAGTGGTCATGGGCAGTGACTAAACATTCAGGCAGGTGCATGGAAATAAGCTACAGGGTAGCGCAGAACGGCGGGGGGAAGGCAGTGAGCTGGGTGGTAGTGCTAGCAGCGCGGTAGCTAGTCTCTAGTGCATGGAGTAGCGAGGTCAGCGACAGCAGGGAAAGCGGAATGATTGGTGAATAGCATGGGGAGGATCAAGCGGCCAGCGGAGGCACAGGCAGGTGTGGAGTAGCGCGCAACTACGGCATCTAGGAAACCCTTGGCGTTCGCGACAGGAGTGAAGCTCGGAGGCTCATACAGGGGAAGTGCATGACTAATGGCAAGCTGCGCGAGAGTCCCAAACAGCGTGAGCGAGCACAGCAGCAGCAAAGGCCTCACTCTCAGCAGTGGTGGGGTCAGGGATCAGGCGTGGAGGGGCGGGGAAGCAAGCCATCAACATGCATAGCCAGGGAGTGCCCATCCTGGCTCTGACCTGTCAGGTGACAGCGGAGATCGACAAGCCAGGAAGCGAAGTTGATTGCGTGTCCCTCCGCGTCCAAGAGAAGCATTGCATCCACTATCGTGCAACCTCTGCAGCACAGCGGCACAGCGTCACGGCGGCACAGCGGCACGGCGATATAGCGGCAGAACTTCACGGCGAGAGGACCGGGCGGAAGGCCGAGGAGGGGCGAGCGGACGTGGTAGGGACCGGCGCGTGCAAAGGGCCGGCGAGCAAGTGAGGGGCTGGCGGGAACGGGAGGGGCCGACGGGTGCATGAGAGGCCGGTGCGCGCGAAGGGGCTGGAGGGTGCGTGAGGGGCCGGCGAGCACGCGAAGGGCCGGTGGGCGCGTGAGGGGCCGGCGAGCGCGAAGGGCCGGTGAGGCGTGGAATGGGCTGGGCAGGTGCGTGAGGGGTCGAGCAAGCGCGCGGGGGGCCGGCTAGGCTCTAGGGGCCGGCGGTGCACGAGAGGGGCCGACTAGGTACGAGGGGCCCGCACGGTGCAGCTCGGAGCCGGCTAGGCGCGAGGGGCTGGCGGTGCGCGAGGGGCTGACGAGGCGAGAGGGGCTGGCAAGACGCGTGGCGATGGCTGGACGCAAGGGGCCGGCTAGGCGAGAGGGGCCGGCTAGGTGCGAGGGGCCGGCTAGGCGAAAGGGGAGGGAGGGGGGTGGGGGGGTGGCGAGGTGCAAGGGGCCATTTCGGCGCGAGGGGCCAGCTAGGTGCGTGAGGCCGTCACGGCACGAGGGGCCGTTACGGCGCGCTAGGGGCCGGCTAGACGCGAGGGGCCGGCGGGGCGCTAAGGGGCCGGCACAGCGCGTAAGGGACGGCGGGCACGCTAGGGGCCGGCGAGGTGCACTAGGGGCCGACGATACACTAGGGGCCCGCGGGGCGGTAGGCTAGGGCTAGGGGAGGAAGCGGGTGGGCGGACCTAACCTACTCACGATACCATGTTAGAATACAGGAATTACTAGAAACAAGAGAGAACAAGGTAGATATAGGGTTGGATTTGTACCCTCTAAGAACATACACCTATCTAGCCTATAATTTCTATATACAAACATATGTATAAGTTGACACACTGACCCGCTATTAACAAGCCCTTTTAACTCAGTGGTTAGTGGCTGAGTTTCTGACATGGTTTCAGAGCATTGGTGACTCGGGTTCAATTCCCAGTGCTAGCGCTGCAGAGGCGCTCGTGTCTTCCACCTATCCTAGCGAGGGGGGTGTCGAGTGACCCGCTGGGGTTACCCTTGAGAAGATGCTCGGGGAAGGGCCACAGGTGCAGAGCCTGGAGGGCTATGGGCGCACTGACTCTGGGCTCAGTTTCTGACCCAGCCAATCGGACATCCCGGTGCGACGCTGAGGTGGCGCATTCGTTTCTGATCTTGGCGCGATAGACTGGGCAAGGGGTGTCAGAACCCTGTCACTAACCACTGAGCTAGAAGGGCTCATTAAGTAGCAAGTATGTGTGCCCATAACCCCCCAGGCAGAGAGATGGCCTGTAGCTCTTCCCCAAGAATCAAGGGCAACCCTAGCGTGTCTTTTGACCCCCCCCCCTCACTGGGATAGGAGGAAGACACTAAGCGCCTCTGCATTGGGAATTGAACCCAAGTCACCCGGCTCTTATACCATGTTAGAACTCAGGCACTAACCATTGAGCTAAAAGGGCTTGTTAAAACCCTACGACAAAATAGCAGAGGGGTTATCAAGCTAGGACCCCACTTGATGGAGCCCCCCTCCAAACGCTAGAGGGGTTGGCTTGGTACAGAGAGGGGATAGTTTGGGGGCAGGGCAGGTTTCGAAACAGCACGGAATGCCCCGTTGATGCCATGACGGATCATAAAATTATGTTTCGGGCTTGGGCAAGTCATGCGACGAGATGCAGGGTTGCATGAAAACCCAAGCAGCCAATAGAACGGGGGCATCAAAGTGAACGTGGATGCGCTTCGACTCTACGAGTGACGAGGATCTTGGAATGGGACAGCCAACATCGCATAGCCACATAAATGGCAAAAAACAGGCACGAGCGTTTTTCTGGAAATTTCGGAGTGCTATAGCTGGGTAACCCCATCCACTGACAAAACTGAACAATGACGTTGTGGCTGAAAAAGGGGACACGTGATTGGTCGAAGGCAAACAGACCTTCGCAAATACAACCCAAATCTCCATCCCTTGACACCCAAAACAGAAGGAAAATACTTTGCATCAATTTGTAAGTTAGGACCCAGGCGAGTTCAACTTTAGACTCGTATCTGGCTAATAGTAGAATTCCTGGCACGCGTAGCCTAGCCTGGGCGATATAGAGCAAGAAATAAAGCAAGGAATAAAGGACAAAGGTTCCGCTTCGTCCCGCTACCCACTTTCCCTCGCTTCCCGCTTTTCACTTTCCCTCGCTCCCACTTCCCGTTTTTCCCTCGCTTCCCGCTTCCCGCTTTCCGCGATTCCCGCTTATCGTTTTCTCGCTTTCCCGCGTCTCCCGCTTCCCGCTTTCCGTGGCTTCCACCTCCCGCTTTCCCTTGCTTACAGCTTGCTGCTTTCCCGCGCTTCTCGCTTCCCGCTTTCCCGCACTTCCTGCTTCCTGCTTTCCCTCGCTTCCCGCTTCCAGCTTCCCGTTTCCCGCTTCCCGCGCGTTCCCACGCTTCCTGCTGACCCTCGCTTTCAGCTTCTCGCGTTCCCTCGCTTTTCGCTTCCCGCCTCCCACTGACCCCCGCTTCCCGTTTTCCTCCCTTCCCCCTGCTTCCCGCTTTCCCTCTCTTCCCGCTTTTGGGAGCTTCGTGAGGAGTGAGAGCAAGGAAGGGGTGGAGGCGAAGCAGCAGGGAAGAGAGCGAGGCTCACCTCCGGAGGGAGAGCAGGGGAGGGGGAAAGGAGTGAGAGCAACAAAGACAGTGAGGAGTGAAAGAAGGGGAGGGGGGGAGGGGGGAGGAGGGAGAGCACGGAAGGCAGAGAGGCGGGAGTGCACGGGAGGGGGCGTGGCGTGAGAGCTGGGGAGGGGGAGTGGCATGAGAGCATGGGAGGGATCGAGGTAAACGAGCAGGGGAGGGGGAGTGGCGTGAGAGCATGGGAGGGATCGAGCTAAACGAGCAGGGGAAGGGGAGTGGCATGAGAGCATGGAAGGGATCAAGGTAAACGAGCAGGGGAGGGGGAGTGGCGTGAGAGCATGGGAGGGATGGAGGTAAACGAACTGGGGAGGGGGAGTGGCGTGAGAGCATGGGAGGGATGGAGGTAAACGAGCTGGGGAGGGGGAGTAGCGTGAGAGCATGGGAGGGATCGAGGTAAATGAGCAGGGGAGGGGGAGTGGCATGAGAGCATGGGAGGGATCGAGGTAAATGAGCAGGGGAGGGGGAGTGGCGTGAGAGCATGGGAGGGATGGAGGTAAACGAGCAGGGGAGGGGGAGTGGTGTGAGTGCATGGGAGGGATCGAGGTAAACGAGCAGGGGAGGGGGAGTGGTGTGAGTGCATGGGAGGGATCGAGGTAAACGAGCAGGGGAGGGGAGTGGCATGATAGCATGGGAGGGATCGAGGTAAACGAGCAGGAGTGGGGGAGTGGTGTGAGAGCATGGGAGGGATCGAGGTAAACGAGCAGGGGAGGGGGAGTGGTGTGAGTGCATGGGAGGGATCGAGGTAAACGAGCAGGGGAGGGGGAGGTGTGAGAGCATGGGAGGGATCAAGGTAAACGAGCAGGAGAGGGGGAGTGGTGTGAGAGCATGGGAGGGATCGAGGTAAACGAGCAGGGGAGGGGGAGTGGTGTGAGTGCATGGGAGGGATCGAGGTAAACGAGCAGGGGAGGGGGAGGTGTGAGAGCATGGGAGGGATCAAGGTAAACGAGCAGGGGAGGAGGAGTGGCGTGAGAGCATGGGAGGGATGGAGGTAAACGAGCTGGGGAGGGGGAGTGGCATGAGAGCATGGGAGGGATCGAGGTAAACGAGCAGGGGAGGGGGAGTGGCGTGAGAGCATGGGAGGGATCGAGGTAAACGAGCAGGGGAGGGGGAGTGGCATGAGAGCATGGGAGGGATCGAGGTAAACGAGCAGGGGAGGGGGAGTGGCGTGAGAGCATGGGAGGGATCGAGGTAAACGAGCAGGGGAGGGGGACTGGTGTGAGAGCATGGGAGGGATCGAGGTAAATGAGCAGGGGAGGGGGAGTGGCATGAGAGCATGGGAGGGATCGAGGTAAACGAGCAGGGGAGGGGGAGTGGCGTGAGAGCATGGGAGGGATCGAGATAAACGAGCTGGGGAGGGGGAGTGGCGTGAGAGCATGGGAGGGATCGAGGTAAACGAGCAGGGGAGGGGGAGTGGCATGAGAGCATGGGAGGGATCAAGGTAAACGAGCAGGAGAGGGGGAGTGGCGTGAGAGCATGGGAGGGATGGAGGTAAACGAGCAGGGGAGGGGGAGTAGCGTGAGAGCATGGGAGGGATCGAGGTAAATGAGCAGGGGAGGGGGAGTGGCATGAGAGCATGGGAGGGATCGAGGTAAATGAGCAGGGGAGGGGGAGTGGCATGAGAGCATGGGAGGGATCGAGGTAAACGAGCAGGGGAGGGGGAGTGGTGTGAGTGCATGGGAGGGATCGAGGTAAACGAGCAGGGGAGGGGGAGTGGTGTGAGTGCATGGGAGGGATCGAGGTAAACGAGCAGGGGAGGGGAGTGGCATGAGAGCATGGGAGGGATCGAGGTAAACGAGCAGGGGAGGGGGAGTGGCGTGAGAGCATGGGAGGGATCGAGGTAAACGAGCAGGGGAGGGGGAGTGGCATGAGAGCATGGGAGGGATCGAGGTAAACGAGCAGGGGAGGGGGAGTGGTGTGAGAGCATGGGAGGGATCGAGGTAAACGAGCAGGGGAGGGGGACTGGTGTGAGAGCATGGGAGGGATCGAGGTAAATGAGCAGGGGAGGGGGAGTGGCATGAGAGCATGGGAGGGATCGAGGTAAACGAGCAGGGGAGGGGGAGTGGCGTGAGAGCATGGGAGGGATCGAGATAAACGAGCTGGGGAGGGGGAGTGGCGTGAGAGCATGGGAGGGATCGAGGTAAACGAGCAGGGGAGGGGGAGTGGTGTGAGTGCATGGGAGGGATCGAGGTAAACGAGCAGGGGAGGGGAGTGGCATGAGAGCATGGGAGGGATCGAGGTAAACGAGCAGGGGAGGGGGAGTGGCGTGAGAGCATGGGAGGGATCGAGGTAAACGAGCAGGGGAGGGGGAGTGGCATGAGAGCATGGGAGGGATCGAGGTAAACGAGCAGGGGAGGGGGAGTGGTGTGAGAGCATGGGAGGGATCGAGGTAAACGAGCAGGGGAGGGGGACTGGTGTGAGAGCATGGGAGGGATCGAGGTAAATGAGCAGGGGAGGGGGAGTGGCATGAGAGCATGGGAGGGATCGAGGTAAACGAGCAGGGGAGGGGGAGTGGCGTGAGAGCATGGGAGGGATCGAGATAATCGAGCTGGGGAGGGGAGTGGCGTGAGAGCATGGGAGGGATCGAGGTAAACGAGCAGGGGAGGGGGAGTGGCATGAGAGCATGGGAGGGATCGAGGTAAACGAGCAGGAGAGGGGGAGTGGCGTGAGAGCATGGGAGGGATGGAGGTAAACGAGCAGGGGAGGGGGAGTAGCGTGAGAGCATGGGAGGGATCGAGGTAAATGAGCAGGGGAGGGGGAGTGGCATGAGAGCATGGGAGGGATCGAGGTAAATGAGCAGGGGAGGGGGAGTGGCATGAGAGCATGGGAGGGATCGAGGTAAACGAGCAGGGGAGGGGGAGTGGTGTGAGTGCATGGGAGGGATCGAGGTAAACGAGCAGGGGAGGGGGAGTGGTGTGAGTGCATGGGAGGGATCGAGGTAAACGAGCAGGGGAGGGGAGTGGCATGAGAGCATGGGAGGGATCGAGGTAAACGAGCAGGAGAGGGGGAGTAGTGTGAGAGCATGGGAGGGATCGAGGTAAACGAGTAGGGGAGGGGGAGTGGTGTGAGTGCATGGGAGGGATCGAGGTTAACGAGCAGGGGAGGGGGAGGTGTGAGAGCATGGGAGGGATCGAGGTAAACGAGCAGGGGAGGGGGAGAGGAAGGAATGAATGTGAGGCGTGAGAGCAGGGGAGCGGGCGTCCCACTTCCTCTTGCTTTCCTCTTCCCCCTGCTTCCCTCTTTCCCCTGCTTCCCTCTTCCCCCTGCTTCCCTCTTTCCCCTGCTTCCCGGTTCTCCTTGCTCCACCCCCCCCCCTTCCCCCCTTGCTATACCTACTGGTTTCCCCCCCGTCCCCTATCCCCCCTGTCTCCCCTATACACCCAATCACCCCTCCCTCCCTCCCTCCCCCATTCTCACTCTCCCTGCCCCACTTGGCACTTCGTGCTCCCACTATTCCCTTCCGCAGGAGTCGAAGATGTTGGAGCCAATAGTCCAGAGTGCCAGCACCAGAATTCTGGGCCTAGTAGTCATATACCGCTTACTATATCAATGTGTAGGGAAGAGTGTAGGGAAGAGCATGGGAGGGATCGAGGTAACACTTGCGATTTTTGCCTTGAAGATAGAGTCATTTGCGAGCTGCAGAGCTTATTGCTACGAATTCTGCTTCGGCTGATGAAAGTGCGTTGACTTCCTGTATCGATTAGTTCCAGGAAATGACACCACCCGGTTCAAGTTTGAAGATGAACCTTGTATGCGAACGCGTGTTGTCGGGGTAAGCAGCGTGATCCGCATCAACGTATCCAATAAGTCGAAATTTTGCTGCAGTGTTTGTCATGTAGCTGATGCCGAGTGTAGGAGTAGAAATAAAATATTGGAGGGCTCGACGAAGATCGGCCATATTTTCTCCCCTTCAGGTTGGCGCAGGTACCGTGCGAGCTGATTCGTGATGTAGGCAAGATTTGGGCGGCATGTAACAGCTGCAAATAGAAGACACGCGAGCTACTGCTTGTAAAGCTGATGCACGGAGGCGGTAAGTGGGGTAGTATCGGCCGAAATGTGACGAAATGGAGTGGTGAGGCCGATAGGAGCGATGACGAACTTTTTCGCATGTGTTTCTGCGTACTTGCTTGTAGAAAAGTAAATGGCATCGGGGCCGCAATCGATGTTTAACCCAAGAAATTGGTGATGTTTGGAGAAATAGTCACTTCAAGAATCGTTTGGATTCTTTTCTCCATGCGCACCAAAAGACTGTTGCATGAGCCGGTGTATAGTAAGTCGTCCACGTAGGTGACTAGAAGAATGTTATGCCCTCGAAATTTGAGTGTGTACATTCCAAAATCGTGGGGCAGCTGCACGAAGTCGAGTGAAATCAGCACTTTGTAAAGATGCGGCTGCCACAAGCCAGGAGCATGTTTGACGCTGTGGAGTGACTTAAGTAACTTGCAAACATGAAGTACGTCACTGTATGTGTGAGGGAGTTCAACAAAAATATCTGCATCGATGTCTGTGTATAAAAACACATTTTTAACATCAAGTTGACGAAGCAAAAAGTGGCAGCTGGCACCCATGGCGAGAAGAATTCGAACTAAGGTATGATGGCTCACTGTAGCGAAAGTCTGGTCGTAATCGATGCTGTGGGTTTGTTCGAAACCTCGAACGACCCATCTCCCCTTGAATCTCTCTGGTTCGCCTGCTGCATTTGTCTTTATGCAAAAGACCCACTTGCCCGAAAGAATTTTCTTGCCGCGTGCTGCTTCGCGTGGAACGAGTTTCCACGTTTTCCGTTTCTCGAGAGCTGCTACCTCTGCATCCATAGCTGCTTGCCACTTGTCAGCATCAGAGCCAGAGAGGGCCTGCTTGACTGTTTTCGACTCGATCCCGGTCGTTGGTTGCTGAACTGCAACAGCAAGTCCGAGGATTAGAAGAGACGATTGGTCACCACAAGGATGAGGTTGACAAACTTTGACGACGTCATCATCGTCAATTTCGGATGGCAGATAGCGGGCACCGTCATGTGATGCTGCGTCAGTTTTCTGTCGGCGCAGGTGCTCCTCATAATTATAGGCAGCATGTGTCGTGGCCGGACGAAACGGGTCTCAGAGGGAATGAAGGAATATAAGAGTCAAACAGTGGTTCGGTTGCTGACGTAGACTGCTGCAGAACTGTAGAAGGTCCTGCTGCTGTGCTGTCATGCAGATAATATTCTTCGGCTACATCTGCTTCGTCTTGAGGAGTGGTGAAACTCCGTTCGACACTCTAGCAATCGGGATCCCACTACTGGCATTCCTTGTCACGTTCAAAGTCATCGAGAAAAAGTTTCTCGTAGAAGATGCAATCTCGGGCATTCAAAACCTTTTGGATTTTGTAATCCATAATTATCCAAGAGAAGGAATCTTTAGGTACACCGAGGTGTATTCCCCATTGAGCCCGTTCAGTAAATCTGCCGACAGTTGCGCTCGGAGGTCTGTATTGGACCATGCAGCCCCAAACTTGTAAAATTCGAGTGCCGGCGGGGTGTTTTGTTCACATGACATGTGGCGAGCTGAATTGAGGGAGAGCTGTTGAAGGCAAGCAGTTGTGTAGGCGAACAGCTTGCGCCATCACAAATGGCTAGAAGTCTGCTGTCAAGCTGGATTGTTGCAGCAGCACACGCATCTTCTCTTGTAGCGTCATGTTAGCTCTCTCACGTACTCCATTCTGCTGATGGGCGAAAGGCACAGTCTTGCGCCTGAGAATCCCTTTCCGCGCGAGGAATTCATTGCGCTGTTCGCTAGTGTGCTCGCTCGTGTTGTCTGTCCGGATCTCTTTCAGCTTGATGCCGCTGTGCCACTCCGCAATTTTCAGCCATAGTTTGAAGGCGTCGAGAGCTTCAGACTCGTGAGAGATATTCTTGTACCAGACATATCGAGTAGCACCGTGAATGGAGGTAATTACATATTGGTAGTCGTTGCCGCTGCTAACTTTTGCTTCCTGCGGCATTAAGAGTATGTCGCTAAAAACGACATCCATAGGTGAGTACTTCGTAGCACATGGAAAGTGCGATGGGAACGGAGCGTAACGAATAGGTGAGCTTCGGGGCAGATGGTGCAGGGTAGTTGACGACTGTTAGGTCAAAGTTCTTGGCCATTGGTTATAAGGAGTGCGTCCTTGTTGAAAACCAAGGCTTTAATCGAGTTGTTGAGAGCTTTTGCGAGGGATGACCAAACCGTTTGTGCCAGATTTCTGCTGTAGTCCTGTGTCCCTTTGAACGCAGGTACAAGTTCGAGTGAAGGAAGAAGGCCAGCGAAAGATAAATTGTTGGCGCAGAGTTAACGCAGTGGCCGGTGCCGTAAGGCTGGATGAACCCGGCTTCTTCTACAGTTTCAGCCCAAGGTATGCCGAAATGTCGGCGATGCGCCCAAGCATCAGGTATGATTAACTCTTTCTTGGCCCATGTGCGTTCATCCTCCATGGATTCTTTGACTGTAGCAGATGTCGGTTCTTGATTGTCATAACCTTAATTTCCATCTCCAGATGCCCATGTGCTTTGAACTGTTTTTGCTGCTTCTGTTGGCTCTGCTGCATGTTTGTCGAGGGAATTGGTGCGAGAAGGCTGAGACGTGACGCAGAAGACATTGAGACCAGAATGGTCTTGGCGTTGAAGATCCGTTTCCCAGTGATGATGCCAAGGAGCAAGTGAGACGTTCTTCTCACTGTCACCAGATGCCTTTACAGGTGAAAAATGTAAAACAGAAACGCCGTCTTTAATTTCTGCGATGTTGACTAAATTGCTTTTGTCTTCCTTCTTGTCGCCTAGGTACAACTCCGTGAGCATCGTGTTGGCGGTGTTGACAAAGCAGATGCCACTTTCCATCAGCTGCGCTTGTGATAATAAGTTGAAGCCGAGTCCCGTGGAGACGAGAACCTTGTTAAGGTGAAGTGAAACTTCGGTGTCATTGGACTCTCGTATACATCTCCAATTCTGGTGGCTTCAATAACTTGATTGTTGGCCATTATGATGTTGTATTTTTGTTTGTTTGGCAGGTCTCGCCAGTTGAGGAGATAGCGACTTGAAGTCACCATGTGGTGATCGCAGCAGCTGTCAAGAAACCAAGTGTTAATATGCTCGGGATACGTACGCTTGGCGATGTGGGCGTACGGCTGCACATTCAACCATCGAGGAAACCCGTTCGGCTGCTCTGGTTTGTCTTCATTAACGATTGCAGGTTCTGGAGTTTTTGAACGAGGACGAAGACGTGGAGGTAGATTGGTTGTTACTTCTTCCATGTCATTGTCACTGTTATTGTCTCGTTGACCCCAGTAGCGTATACCACTAGACCAGTGTGATCCAATCATGCAATAAATGATTGCCTTGCCTTTTCCAGATTGAGTTGAAGAAGCTGAAGGCGGCAAGATAGTCTTGGCAGGGGCGACTTCACCTGAATTCTCCCGATTTATGTTCTTCAGTTATTGACACTCTTCAATACAATGACCTGCTCGTTTGCAGAACTCGCAGAAGCCCTTTCCTCCTCTTCTTGTTTGCTCCCATTGATTTGATGCACCTCTTGCTAGATCCCCTTGACTTGATCCACCTGTATAGAAGCTTAACCCACTCTTGGATTTGCCTCCTTTCGCGTTGTACGGGTCTAAGTCCTGTTGCTCTGCCATTAGAGTAGCGCAAAGAGAAGTTTCTGAGATGTTCCCTTGGGAGCGAAGAAGGGACTTGCACTGCCTCCATTTGGGTCCAAGTCCAGCCAAAAAAATTGTGGCCAAGAGATCATTGCTGAGATTTCATCCGCACTTGCCAATTTGGTCCCGAAGATTTCTGCACATGTTGATGTAGCTGCCGAAGCTTTTGCATTGCTGTAAGTTGACTTAACAGCTTGCTCTCTGAAATGGAATCTTGTGCTTGATACAACCTTCGCAAATAATCCCAGGCGTAGAAGGCTGGAGTGAGTGAAGGTTTGAAGCACCGAAATCCCAACTGCTCTTCAAGTGGGAGATTCCACACCAGCAGTGTATAGGCCATAAGCGAATACTTGTAATAACGCGCCTGTTCTTCGGTCGTTCCTGTCTTTGGATAACGGATTGAACCGTCAAAGTATCCCCAGATACTAGAAGATTGCGCAAGGAGTTCGAACTCGAATCCCCAAGTAGAGAAGTTGCGGCCATCAAAATAACTTGAGGTCTTTAGCTTGGAGATAGTTAGGAAATCCGCTTGATTTACGACAACTTCTGCAGCGAATGTTCTTTCTTCTGCCATTTGATGTTGTTGCTGCTGTGGTTGTTGTTGTTGCTGTGTTGAATAGGTTGCCCATGGAAGGCAAAAGACCCTGCAGATTCATCTCCAGGAGCTGAAGGCCCAGCGGCAACAGCAGCCCTTGCATAACTAGAGTTATCAAGGCTCATAGAAGCTACAGGATGCGCTCAAGCTTGTTGTTGTTGCTGAGTAGATTGATTAGCCATCAAGGAAGCAAAGTCAGATAGATAGTCAGTAGAAAGACCAGAAGTAGGAGAATTCGTAGTTGAATTTCCTGTCTTAGCAGTTGACATAATTATATATCTATGACTTAAGCTTATGGGCGTAATCGAAATCAGCTTATATCGGTTCCTATAACTCCACTAGCTCAGAATACCATGTAGAAGTGAACCACGTGTTTAGGGTGGCCAGGATCTAGAGTTGGTGGAACCATGAGTAAAATTCAGCGGAAGACT